TTTCATTTGTGAATCTTATGCTATGAATCATGTCTGAACACTATGGATTTGAATTGTGACACTCTTGGATTCTATGTGCCTCATATGGTGATATTAATAGCTTTGCACATCATAGTTCAATAATCTACTTTATCGACTTCTTCTTTGCCGACTCTAAAAATGAATCGACAAATATATAAGCAAAACTTTCAGAGGTCAGAGCTTTCACATATCTTTTTAATGGGTCTGATTTGAGATTCGATCATGGACTGTTGGGATGTGCTGCTGCCGGAGTATTCGTTCGATCCCACTGTGCCACGGTTGTTCTCACATATGAAGCGGGTTGATGGGATAAAGTCACAAGTCTTGTTTTCGATGTTTACCTTTCTGAGCAAGCAATTCACATAGCAATGAAATGCAAAACACTTTAAATCCATCTGTTTTGAGCAGTAGTGTGATTCAATGTGCAATACACTTGAATAGATAGTGAAAGATTTTCTACATTTCAAAACTTGAAACATTATAAATTAACGTGTATAACACATTGAATCAAGGTGAAATACACTTAAAGTAAATGTGATTGTGCATTTAAAAAATCAAGTGTTTAAACACTTCGATCAAACGTGTGGAATTTTTTGAGTGTAAGATTAAGCTTGGTACAGTCGAGCCGCGTTGCGTAAAATAGATTCTAGATAACGTTATAGTTAAGCATAATTCGCGCTTGTCAGTTCGAAAGAAACTGAATCAATTTTTAATTGACCATTGCGAGAAGATAATGTGGAAGAGATAAGCTGGAACGAAATAAAAGTTAATAACTGATAATTGCAAGATTACTTACCATGAACTTCCTTTTATTCAAAATGTGAAATCATTCAGCATTCGTCACTGACAGTTCGGTTGCTTCTAATGTTTGCTATCTCTGGGCATAAGTGTACTCGTATCTGTCATTTCATACAAAAAGCTCATCAACAAATAATAGAGAAAGCGATTTTGGGGGAAGACTTATGACAGGTAAGCAATGAAGTTTTTGGCCCCTGCTTCGTTAAGGTAGGACGAAGTTCCATCAAGCGCTTTACGTGCCTTACTGTCCGTGAAATACATTTGGAGATAGTCTTAAGTTTGACAACGGATTCGTTTCATCATTGCTGGAAATAAATTTTGGAAAGTGAGATACGGGAAATCAACGACACGACGAGCAGCACCTTTAGGGCTGCGCACACCAAATGGCGGTTCAACCCTCCTTCTGCTCCTCACATGGGTGGGTGTTGGGACCGTATGGTACGGTCAGTGAAGACAGCATTGCCAATGTTATGGAAGTTAGACGACGAATCCTTCATGACGTTGTTATCGGAAGCAGAACATACGGTCAACTCACGGCCATTGACCTACACGTGCCACTGGATAACGAAGAGCGGTAGTCGTTGACTCCAAGTTACTTTCTCATGCTTAGTTCAAGCGGCGTTCGACAGCTGGCCAAGGCTCCTGTGGACGAAAAGAAAGCTGTAAGGTCTGTATCCCCATTAATCCCATCAAACACATTCAAATCTCTGCAACTTATGAAATATTGCACGTAGGAGTGAAAAATTTCGCAGAAGTATAGCTGGGAGTCATTGATGAAAAAGACTTTTATTGACATTATTGTTAACATTCCATGTTTAGTGTTCAAGATGGCGATGAATGAAAAACACGTGCGCGAGCGGTTTTTGTACGGACGTAATGCAAATCCTAACTTGTAAATACGGAAACTTGCAAAAAAAAAATTGATTTAGGGTTCTAATTTCCGTCCTACTAAGCACAACCCCCGCTTTACCTCTCATTTTTGAACGGGTTTGAACAAAAAATTGAAATTTTTTCTCAAAGATGACTTGCAAATTTATTGATCTTTCCATACGTACCGTTGGATTTGATGAAGAGTCACAAATTGTTGAGATATTGCTCAAAATCTAATACAATTTCTTGATTCTAAATTCGTCCTACGAGTTTCAATTCTGTCCAAACGCATTGAAACGCCATTAGATTTTCTTCGTCCTACGGATAAACGTAGAAAAAGGAGATTCGCTAGGAGCGCTTCTTTTGTTTTGAGAGCAATGAGCGTAAATATTCATACAATGCGCTCTAATAGGATTGATGTTGTAGCTAATGAACTAACGCATCTGAACAAACCTTTTATTGATTTGTGCATGGTGAAATCATTGGTATTATTGATCTTATCTGATCGATAGAACGGAAATGGGCGATTACGACAAAGAAGTGCTCTACCCTACCTAAATCCACTGTTCACGGTGTGCTCAAATCATTTTTGGAACGTTTGACGGTCGAGAGGAAACCGAGAAGTGATGGACCGAAAGGTGAAGAGGATATTGAAGTAAATTCCGAATCTCTTTGTTTGAACGGTGGCTCGTAAAATAGGAATGTCACCTGGTTTTGTCCAAAAATCAAAACAGCGTTTGGGCTGAAGTCGTATTAAGTAAAAATAGTTCCAAATCACAACGGAAAACAGAATTTGACAGCAAAATCACGGGATCGACGTTTGTACTGCGAATATTTGACGAAGTTTTCATGCGTTATTATGGACAAAGAAACTTATGTCCAGTAGGATTTCAAGCAGCTTCCAGGGCTGGCTTTCTATTCTGCTTTGGCCAAAAATGCTACATCTGAGTATTTCAGGACGAAGAAGGCGTCGAAATTTGGAGTAAATCTTTCGTCGCTACAGGCCCAATGAACAAGGAGATTTATCAGAAAGAGTGCCTGCAGAAGCGATCGCTACCCGTCATCAAAAGCCACACAGCTAAAAAAAAGTAGTGTAAATTTCCGTTACTATGATGCACATAAATGGAGCGTCATATATCATACAAGTTTAGATTATAGATCGTGTAAATTTATGAGACATGTCACGCAATATTCCATATATTGTATGCAACTGTCCACTTTTGTTTGCAACATTTCTTGCAAGCTGCTTGTTTACGTGAAAAGGAAGTTTACATGTATCAATGTTTGCATGCATGGATGTTTACATCGCCGGTAAAATTCAGAATTTTTTTGTGTGCACAAATAAAAGCCCGATTTGAAATCATGCCATTATGCTAAAACTGTGATGGAGTGGTACGAAGCAAATCAAGTGAATATTGTTCCAAAAATCACAAATCAGCCAAATTGTCCAGAGCTGCGTCCAATCGCGAGATATTGGGCTCTGATGAAGCGGAAGCTTTCTGGAAAGATTCAAGAAATCAAAGATATCAAACACTTCCGAACAATTTGGACAAAGACGACCACCCCGGTATCTGAGGAGTTTGGACAAACCCTATTGGATGGATTTAAGCGCAAAGTTCGAAAATTTCAAACAAATACCGAATAACTATGTTTTGACTTCGTGAATATTTAAGTTACATCCCATGAATCTAAAAGAAACAACTACAATTGAAATATAATGCGAAATTTGTGTTTTACTTAAGTTTTGATTCGTTTGGATTATGGTGGATACAGACCTTAAAACGAAGTTAGAGGCTGGTACCCATGCTGGATGAGTTTTGGCGTCGTTGGATCGTTTAATACTTGTCGATGCTCTCTCGGCGTACAAAATGGTTCCAATACGTCGCACCAGTTAAGGAGAATGCGCTAGTTTTGATAGCAGACGAAGGGGTCCGAAAGCAGACAAAGATGAAGTAGTGTGCCGGGCAGATGTAAAGACATCTAGTGAAGTTTTGCGGAGACATGTTTGTAAACTGGCAGTTCTTGATGTTCGTGGTGATGCGGAAGTCAAAGCAGAGATTCGAGGAGGTGCTGAATTCGGAGCAGAAATTATCGAAGACGGTGACGTCGAAACAGTGTCCGAGCGACACGAGGGGAGAATGTTCCAACGACCTATCGTACAATCGCAACGTTATGAAAGATAATGTGGGAGATAAAGGATCGTTGTGGCGTTAGAAACCTTAGATTGATAAGAGATCATCATCATGTTATTGATTTGTCATCATTGTGTTAGGATGTGTATAGAAGCACAATTTTACAAGTAAATTACAATCCATACTTTATTATGCCTAATTAGATTATTTTAGTTAAAACTAATTACAGGTTAATCTTAAAATAATGTTGAATTTATTAAACATATTGGAATTGTGAATAACGTAGCTTTAGACCGATTTTAGATGAACTAAAATAACTGTCGCAACACAAATAAGACGATTCACTACAAAGAGCTCAGAAAAGTACATTTTCGCAACAGGACTAGACACATTTTCATGATTCTGGGACTCTAATGAACATACTTAACAAAAAAATTCCCTGATTGATGACAACATTTCCTTATAATTCCAGGCTTTTGAGGTCTTTTGAAATTCCATGATAATTCCAGTTTTTCAAGGTGCATTTTTGAAATATTTGAGCTAGTTTATATCATTTGCCAACATCGAGTGAATGTGAGTGAACGTGATTCTCTATTCGGTAGTTAATTTCCGCGAAATTTGGAAATCCTATTTCTGTGCATTGAATGCTGAGATGTGAAGCGCAGTTCTACCATAGAGGTAACTCTAAGACTAGAAGGTCCCGAAATACCGTGCTCAACTTTTTTGCTCAGCTCTGGTACTCTCTTCGGTCCCAAGCTAATCGATTCACCCCTCGAAAATCCACTAACCCCTCATTTTATCTATCAAACTTTCATAGTGCAGCTCTTCCCAGTGCGTCACAATATCGGCTTCAATCGACAAAATAGATACGACGAAGAAACTGCTAGTTTTATTTTTTCTGTTGCAGTCGAGCAGCTTTGCATCATTCTAGCACCTCAGTTTACGTCTATAAACAAATTGTCTATCGCTATTCTTTCTTTCTCCCGTCGCATCATTCGTGTTCCTTTCAAGCTTCGGTGAAGCGGACGAGTGAAAGAGCTAGCCTTTCATGGAGGTGTTCAATCGAAGTTGCGCAGAAATCAAAATATATATATTTAATGCATTTTGCACATGTAAACATTTGAAGATTGCAGATACTATCTTTCCTCCACATGTTTATTTTAAAGAAGAAACGAGAGCAGGTGACAAAGTGTCGGTGAAATAAATTGAAAGTCAATGTGGTGAGGTTGCGTTTCAACTCTAAAACCGATGCTGCTTTCATTGAAAGAAAATGGGCAAAGCAAGGCGAGAAAAAGTACAGCCAGGCTTTAGAGCTTCGAAAATGTAGAGCCCTGGCTCTACCATTAATATCCCGAGAGCTGGTGTTTGGTCCCTTGTTATTCAATAGTTCGATAACCTGAGCATGTCCATTTCAAGCTGCCAACTGCAGTCTTCGTCGACCATGTTCACATCTGTAACATTTTTTATGACCATGCCATGCTGCGCTATGAAGCAGAATTCTACCGGTGATTGAACTAATGTGATCTTTGCGTATTGGTTAGCATCCGTACCTCTTACGCCAAAGTCACGAGTTCAAATCTCTCCAAAGCCACATATGAAACAAGACCGCTAAATTGACTAAAGTAAGAGAAGAAAAATTAAAACAAAAACAAAAATAAAAGCAAAAGAAATACAAAAAATCAATTCAAATTTAAAAGTGGCACCGTTGATAATCAACAGTTTTATCAACTGGTAGTGAAGATTTCGAGCTGCATAAACAAGAGCAGTAAATTGATTTTTATCCACTGAATTCATGTCAGCATTGTTTGATATCAAAAGTTCTGCAGCGTTCTTTTGACCATGGAATGCTGCGATATGAAGTGGAGTTATGCCGGTTATTGAACAAATGTTAACAGTGGCTTTTTTTTAAATCAACAATTGGATCAAGTGATCGTGTCCATTTTGAACAGCTAAATGAAGAGCAGTCCATCCATTTTCTTGCACTGCATTCACGTCAGCATTGTTTGATATCAAGAGTTCTGCAACGTTCTTATGACCTTTGAGCGCTGCGCTATGAAGTGGAGTTGTACCGGTTTTTGAACAAATGTTAACAGTGGCTTTTAATCAACAATTGGATCAACTGATCGTGTCCATTTTGAGCTGCTAAATGAAGAGCAGTCCGTCCATATTCATTCACTGCATTCACGTCAGCATTGTTTGATATCAAGAGTTCTGCAGCGTTCTTATGACCATTTTCAGCTGCTAAATGAAGAGCAGTGCATTGTTTTTCTTCCACTGCATTCACGTCAGCATTGTTTGATATCAAGAGTTCTGCAGCGTTCTTTTGACCATGGAATGCTGCGATATGAAGTGGAGTTCTACCGGTATTTGAACAAATGTTAACAGTGGCTTTTTTTTTAATCAACAGTTGGATCAACTGATCGTGTCCATTTTGAGCTGCTAAATGAAGAGCAGTCCATCCACCTTCAAACACTGCATTCACGTCAGCATTGTTTGATATCAAGAGTTCTGCAGCGTTCTTATGACCTTTGAGTGCTGCGATATGAAGTGGAGTTTTACCGGTATTTGTACAAATGTTAACAGTGGCTAGTTTTTCAATCAACAGTTGGATCAACTGATCGTGTCCATTTTTAGCTGCTAAATGAAGAGCAGTCCATCCACCTTCAAACACTGCATTCACGTCAGCATTGTTTGATATCAAGAGTTCTGCAACGTTCTTATGGCCATTTTGAGCTGCTAAATGAAGAGCAGTCCATCCACCTTCAAACACTGCATTCACGTCAGCATTGTTTGATATCAAGAGTTCTGCAGCGTTCATATGACCATTTTGAGCTGCTAAATGAAGAGCAGTCCATTGTTTTTCTTCCACTGCATTCACGTCAGCATTGTTTGATATCAAGAGCTCTGCAACGTTCTCATGACCTTTGAGTGCTGCGATATGAAGTGGAGTTATACCGGTATTTGAACAAATGTTAACAGTGGCTTTTTTTTCAATCAACAGTTGCATCAACTGATCGTGTCCATTTTGAGCTGCTAAATGAAGAGCAGTCCGTCCATATTCATTCACTGCATTCACGTCAGCATTGTTTGATATCAAGAGTTCTGCAGCGTTCTTATGACCATTTTCAGCTGCTAAATGAAGAGCAGTGCATTGTTTTTCTTCCACTGCATTCACGTCAGCATTGTTTGATATCAAGAGTTCTGCAGCGTTCTTTTGACCATGGAATGCTGCGATATGAAGTGGAGTTCTACCGGTATTTGAACAAATGTTAACAGTGGCTTTTTTTTCAATCAACAGTTGCATCAACTGATCGTGTCCATTTTGAGCTGCTAAATGAAGAGCAGTCCATCCATCTTCAAACACTGCATTAACGTCAGCATTGTTTGATATCAAGAGTTCTGCAACGTTCTTATGGCCATTTTGAGCTGCTAAATGAAGAGCAGTCCATCCACCTTCAAACACTGCATTCACGTCAGCATTGTTTGATATCAAGAGTTCTGCAACGTTCTTATGGCCATTTTGAGCTGCTAAATGAAGAGCAGTCCATCCACCTTCAAACACTGCATTCACGTCAGCATTGTTTGATATCAAGAGTTCTGCAGCGTTCTTATGACCATTTTCAGCTGCTGAATGAAGAGCAGTGCATTGTTTTTTATCCACTGCATTCACGTCAGCATTGTTTGATATCAAGAGTTCTGCAGCGTTCTTATGACCATTGAGTGCTGCGATATGAAGTGGAGTTTTACCGGTATTTGAAAAAATGTTAACAGTGGCTTTTTTTTTAATCAACAGTTGGATCAACTGATCGTGTCCATTTTGCGCTGCTAAATGAAGAGCAGTCCATCCATCTTCTTTCACTGCATTCACGTCAGCATTGTTTGATATCAAGAGTTCTGCAGCGTTCTTATGACCATTGAGTGCTGCGATATGAAGTGGAGTTTTACCGGTATTTGAAAAAATGTTAACAGTGGCTTTTTTTTCAATCAACAGTTGCATCAACTGATCGTATCCATTTTTAGCTGCTAAATGAAGAGCAGTCCATCCATATTCAAACACTGCATTAACGTCAGCATTGTTTGATATCAAGAGTTCTGCAGCATTCTTATGACCTTTGAGTGCTGCGATATGAAGTGGAGTTTTACCGGTATTTGTACAAATGTTAACAGTGGCTAGTTTTTCAATCAACAGTTGGATCAACTGATCGTGTCCATTTTGAGCTGCTAAATGAAGAGCAGTCCATCCACCTTCAAACACTGCATTCACGTCAGCATTGTTTGATATCAAGAGTTCTGCAGCGTTCTTATGACCATTTTCAGCTGCTGAATGAAGAGCAGTGCATTGTTTTTTATCCACTGCATTCACGTCAGCATTGTTTGATATCAAGAGCTCTGCAACGTTCTTATGACCATTTTGAGCTGCGATATGAAGTGGAGTTCTACCAGTTATTGAATAAATGTTAACAGTGGCTAGTTTTTCAATCAACAGTTGGATCAACTGATCGTGTCCATTTTGAGCTGCTAAATGAAGAGCAGTCCATCCACCTTCAAACACTGCATTCACGTCAGCATTGTTTGATATCAAGAGTTCTGCAGCGTTCTTATGACCATTTTCAGCTGCTGAATGAAGAGCAGTGCATTGTTTTTTATCCACTGCATTCACGTCAGCATTGTTTGATATCAAGAGCTCTGCAACGTTCTTATGACCATTTTGAGCTGCGATATGAAGTGGAGTTCTACCAGTTATTGAATAAATGTTAACAGTGGCTAGTTTTTCAATCAACAGTTGGATCAACTGATCGTGTCCATTTTGAGCTGCTAAATGAAGAGCAGAGCATCCATCTTCTTCCACTGCATTCACGTCAGCATTGTTTGATATCAAGAGTTCTGCAGCGTTCTTATGACCATTGAGTGCTGCGATATGAAGTGGAGTTTTACCGGTATTTGAAAAAATGTTAACAGTGGCTTTTTTTTTAATCAACAGTTGGATCAACTGATCGTGTCCATTTTGAGCTGCGTAATGAAGAGCAGTCCATCTATCGTCTTTCACTGCATTCACGTCAGCATTGTTTGATATCAAGAGTTCTGCAACGTTTTTATTTCCATCTCGAGCTGCGAAATGAAGAGCAGTCCATCCATATTTTTGCACTGCATTCACGTCAGCATTGTTTGATATCAAGAGTTCTGCAACGTTCTTATGACCATTTTCAGCTGCTAAATGAAGAGCAGTCCATTGTTTTTTATCCACTGCATTCACGTCAGCATTGTTTGATATCAAGAGCTCTGCAACGTTCTTATTTCCATCTTGAGCTGCTAAATGAAGAGCAGTCCATCCATATTCTTCCACTGCATTCACGTCAGCATTGTTTGATATCAAGAGCTCTGCAACGTTCTTATGTCCATTTTGAGCTGCGAAATGAAGAGCAGTCATTTGTTCATCATCCACTGAATTCACGTCAGCTTTATTCTTTAATAAGAATTCACATATTTCAACGAACCCACCTTGCGCAGCAACCAGTAACATAGCTGTTAGGTTTTTTGTTGAGAATGATTTAAAATTTGGTTCAAAAGAGGAAATGATACTCAAACAGTCACACTCACATGCCCACAGTGCAACTCTCCAGCTTTTTTTACACAGATTACTTAAGATCGTGAGGTATGCCTGGTTTCCTTCCATCTTGTTCATAGACAATCTTCGAACAACATAATGATTAGACAAAATGCGTATGACCATTTTGGCTGAAAACGTAAAAATGTTTTCGCACAGATATGTTGCCACAAAGTATTCACTGTAAGACCGATGGCAAAAATTAACCTTCTGTTGGACTACATGAACCAGTTGTGATGTATCTGATTCATGTTCGCATCGTTTTTTAAATTGACCGTGTATTTCTCTATAATATTGATTTTTGAACAATTCCTTACGTACTCCAATGTTTAGCAGCTCCATAGCTAACAACTGATGCTTCAAAATAAAATCACCCATCAACGAATCCAAATCAGCGGAGCTCAGAGCATATTTGGGCTTGAATTTTTCCATAAATTTCTTGTGAAAACATTTTCTTACAAACTGTTTGTACAGCTGTGTAATATTCATTTTTTCTTTAGTCAGATCAATGAACTGATTTGTGTTCTGTTTCTTCAATGAATGGTAATTTTTAAAATTTTCTAAAAAAACCTCCCCCAGCATATTTACCATGAGAGGCGCGCCACAAATTTCACCAAAATTTGAAGGGATATTTGATTTAAATTTGTTTAAAATATGTTTCGAGTAGCTATCAAAGCAATGTTCATCTAGATCTGGGTCGTACCACATCTTTCTCAAATAGTTGATTTGCTCTTCCACACAGAACGGCTCCAGAATCATAGATCTTACATTAAATTGTTTCTCTAATGATAATTGCATATGTTTTCTGGCGCTGATGATGATTCGAATGCTCTTTTTCAACTTGAGTTGTTCCAGCATCTCAATCACCCTGTTGGTGTACTTGGAGTGGATCTCGTCGAAGCCATCCATCTCTATAAGAATGGAATATCCTCGGCCATCCCTTTCATCTGGGGCATTTTTAATGACATCGAAATATCGCTCCGAAAGGATCACTTTGAGTACATTAAGCACATCATCCAAGCTTGAAATGTGTTCTACTTTTTCGAGCTCCATCACCAACTCGCTCAAGTATACCAACAGTACGAGGACAGTATTTTGCTTCTGCACTTCAAACGCTACAAACTGAAGCAAGCTTGTCTTCCCTATTCCAGGGTCTGCCAGAAGTACGATGATCTGATGGTCTTCAAATGTTTTCCCAAGCTCTTCAACAAACTGAGTGTCACTCATCTGTCGTGAAAGTTCCTCAATGTTTTCTTTCATACCTGTTTTCTCAACTTCATAGACATCTTCGCAATTGATCGGTTCACTATATGTGTATATAATACGGCGATTGATGTAATATTTTTGCAATTGTTTTGCTTCCTTACCTTCAAGGTTCTCGTTATCATTTCTAATTTCATTAAGACAGTTTAGTATATCACTTTGTTTCAAAATTGCCTTCATTTTATTCTTTTTCCGTTTATTGAGTTGGTCAAATTTTAATTCTAGATCTCTAAATATCAGATCGATGTTACTCAGTTTTCTGAGTATATCAGGACAGATCCACGTCACACACCACGTCCACAGCTCGCTTTCAATAATTGGGTATAAATCATATGGTTGACCCACTAATAGAGAAAAGTCGTCGAAGAATGGCAAAATTTCCTCCTCACTAACATAACGTGGCAAATGTTTCACCCTTGAATTTTTGAGTAAAAAGTTATTCACTGTTACTGTCTTCTTCATATCAAACTTATCTTTTTCTAGAGCATTAAATAGCTGGGCAACATTGAATTGCTCGCTCTCCGAGTTGAAGCTATCTAAAAAACTGCATTCCTTTTTTTTTATTGTTAAAACGTCTTTCAGAGGAGTACTATAGGTTTCTAAAATTTTACTGACGGTTTTCTTGTTGTTTTGTTGCTCTTCCATTGCGGTTCCATTGTTGAAAAGCTCTTTGATTGCCTCTTTAAGGTTTGCGAAATCTTTGTTGATAAAATCGCTCAACTCCCTAATCGCTTCTTTGGTTGGAACCAGTTTCAGGTATCGGGCCTTGGATCCAGGAAATCGTAGGATTTCATCTACTTCTACCTCTTTAGTCGTCACCCAATCATCATCGGATATTTTTAAATCCCTATTAGTAAATATATAGAACTGCTTTTCGTATTGGTCTTTCTGAAAATTTTCAACAACTTTCAGATAGGATTCCAGGTATTTGTGAATACTGAAGTCTCCGTTGTGTTGATCTTTTAGTGCATTCAAATCGATATCGTTTACCTTGTCATCTCTGGCAAGGGCGTGCTTCACCTGGAGGAAGTGTATCACCTTACGCTTATCGTCAAAGATCACTACGTCATCATACTTATCGGCTAGTGTCATTTCATATGCCAATCTGAAACTGTTTCTCTGCATCCGTAGAAAAAGCGCGATTGAAATTTGTTTTTGGTATACTTCACCGTGGTAGCCTGTTCTGCTTCTTCTTTCATATGTTCCGTGTTGTATTAGGTTCAGCATTTTGAATCAACTGGAGAATAGAAGAGAAATAACGCATTAGCTAAAGTGACTAAGTTTCTACAGTTTGACGATGGTGACATTTTTTCACCTCAAAAACAGTCCTGTAATGGAGCAGCCAAATGGCTTCTCCGATTTGCAAGTTTGTCATGGGAAATGATTCACATTTTGGCTAAAATTCGGCCATTTTGAGCCTTGTTAAATTTTCAAAATGACATCTTTTAAATTTTTGAAAAAAATGTTACATGATCGAAATGACGTCTAAGACAAAGTTGTAATGAAAATTAATATTTGTATAGGAAAAATATACAAACATGTGGTTTCCATTAAAAACTAAAAAAAAACTAATTCCCGACGAGAACGTTATAACAAAATTATATCATGATTGTATCAACTTCTGTTATATATAACAACCGTTGATATAATCTTGTTATAAACGCTCTGTGGTGAAATGAGGAATAAAAAATCATCATGGTATTTGATATAAAATTGTTACACAATTTGTTAGAAAAAAAAATTAAAACAACATTTTAACTAAGTTTGTTAGCATTAGTAGGGTTCGAATCCCTGTGGCAGCTATATAGACGCTCTTTGTGCTTGTAAAGCAGGTTAAAGGTAGAGAGAGGGAGTGCTGTGTTGGGGGGGGGGGGGGGTGCTCTACGCAGATGATTTTTTTTAAATATTTTAACGACAATCTAAAAATAGAAAACACTAAAAAAAATATGTTACCGAAAAACCGAGTTAAAAAGTTTAGTTCAAATCGTTTTTAGTTTTTACCCTAATGGGTTATTTTTTAACAAGGTGTGTTAAAAATATGATATAACCCCAACAATAGTTGTTATATTCTTGATAGCGCGTAGAAGGTTTCTTGTTATATTTTTTGTTATTTAAACTACTAACGGTACATGTTTTATAACAGACCATGTTACGAATAATTTTATATCTCAGTAACAAAGTGTGTATTATTTCTGATACTTCGGGAATTGCCTTTATTAATGAGATTTTAAGCTGGTTCAGCTGCCAAAAGTGTTAAAACCAAAATATCTCAAAATGATTTGGTCCGTTTTTTTTTAATTAAAAAAATCTTAGAAAGTTCACACTTTTGGAATGTTTACAAATATCCACACCTAAAAATTGGCAAAAATCGTAGAACAAGAACTTTTTGTTTGAACCTTTTTTTTCATTTAATTTATACTCAGAAAACAATGTTTAAGGCATTTAAAATAATATTCTTAGAGAAAATAAGCATAAAAACGTACCTACCAAAAGTACAAAAAATTTACCAAAAATTCATGATCTACATTATTTGTCAGTTTTCAAGTGTTCGGGCAAGGAAGTTTTGAGATTACATTTGTGTTAATTTTTTACTTAAAATAAATTATAAACATTTTTTGGGAACAGAAAGACATTATTTTCCTCTGCAACGTTGTTTCAGACATCATTTCGAGCAGGAACGCCATTTTGAAAATTTACAAGTCACAAAATGAATGAATTTTAGCAGATATGTGAATCACTGCCCAAAACAAACAATCAAGCAAAGTGTCACAAAAATCGAAGAAGGTCGACACAAAAATTTATGTTTTTACGCTATTTTGCCAGGAGCTTCTTAGTTCCTCACTCGATCTTCTCCGATTTTCGTGAAACTTTTTATAATTGATTGTTATGAATCTCGCAAAAATCTTGGCATAAAGGGTGTATTCGATTAAAATGGCACACACATATTTACTCACCAAAATTAAACCGATTATCAGATTTTTTTGAAATTTTCAGGGAACGAAAAACTACTAATGAGTTATGATTTACCAAATTTGTTTTATTCAATTTCGTCTCCCATCCCGAATGCGCGCCCCTTCCTTTTCACTCCACTCATCAAATTTTGTACAACCGATTCTCCCAGTATATTTGCTGTTTTTACCTAAATTTTCTTCAACTCCAGCTCTGTTTTGATAGTTTTGTGGCCAGAATTTTTCAATTGGGCGAAGTTTTGGTGAATTTGGTGGGTTCATATCTTTTGGGACAAAATTGACTCCGTTGGCTCGGTACCACTCCAACACGTTTCGAGCGTAGTGGCAGGCAGGATGCTAGATCAGGACAAAACATAGTTGTTCCTTTGTGCTTCCTTAAGGCACTCTTCCGTGTAAATTGATTGTTCCGGAAGTGTTCTTCTTTCGAACCTCCTCCGGAATATCGAATTTAGACTTGGCAACGAAATATTCTTGCCCAGGAAATTGACGGAAGTCGGCCATGACGTAAGTTTCATCATCCATCCATCATGCAACACGATTTGGTGAGGAACTGCGTGTAAAGTTTAATTGACATGTTTGAACGGTTTTTGAACTGTTGAACCACTATCCGGCCATTTCACTGTCCATTGGGCCACTTTTAAGACCACTCCCTTCCTTCCTTCGGGCACTCAGATGCTCCTTGAAGGTTCTTATCACACTAGACACAGTTGTATTTGCAATTCCAAGCTTTTTAGTGATCCATCGGTGGAACGCCGCTGCATTTTGATTGTATGTGCACAAAATTTACTGTATGAATAATTATGAAACTTGACAGATGTAAACAATACACGATGAATAAGATTTACTCGGTTTGCCATTTTTATCGAATACACCCTTTATGCTATCTTTTTCAACAACTCATAACTCGGGAACGTCCTTTCCAATCGAAATGACGTCTGACATAATGTTGTTGCAAAAAATAATTGCTTTTCAGGAAAAATAAACACGATTCCAAATTTCAAGTGATCGAAAAAGTGTTAAAACCTAAATGAAAAAAATATCAATGATTCATTTTTTTAAAATATTGTTTGTTCAAAATCTTTAAAAAATGCTTTCTTCTGTGAAATGTTCATTTTTTTTATAAATGCGTTTATTTTTTCAGGCTCATTTGCCGTAGCTTTGCGGAGCCGATATTCCTTGTTTAGGTTACAAAATTTCTAAAGACTAACGTTAGTAAAGCGGGGGCCGATTACTCGCGGCTATCTCGAGATTAGGGGTAAAAAATTGTAACAAATTGATGGCAGGGTAGGAATTACGAACACAAGGTTTGGAGAGCAATGTGCTCTTGATCTCAAACTAAGCGAAACTCTGATGAAAAAGACAAAACATGGGGGTACACCGATGGGCAGCTAACAACTTGGGAGAACACAAGATGACACTAACTACTAAGTCCTCAGATCTATCCGTTTTAAAAACACATAAATTAAATTAAAATTATCGAGATCTCGGCTCGCCAAGATGTATCAAACGGAGCGCATAGGTTGTTTTCCTCGGGCCTTGAGGGATGCGGATAACTCGGATCTAGCAACACAATGAAGGGTGCATGACCAAAGCACGTGGTCGATATCGTGATAGCCACTACCACAAGCGCACAAATTGCTGCCTACGAGCCCGATTCGGAAGAAATGCGAGTCTAACGAGTAGTGATTGGACATGAGCCTTGACATGACACGTATAAAGTCGCGGCTCATGTCCAACCCTTTGAACCATGGTTTGTTCGACACCTGTGGGAGAATAGAATGTAACCATCTTCCCAAATCACCATCATTCCATTTTTGTTGCCAACTGATGAGGACTTGCTGACGAGCAATGGAGAAAAATTCGTTGAAGGCGATTTGTCGCTCAAAAATATCGCCTTCCATAGCGCCCACCTTAGCCAACGAGTCCGCTTTCTCATTACCCGGAATTGAGCAATGAGATGGGACCCAAGCTAAGGTGATAGTATAGGAGCAGTTAGATAAAGCACTCAGTTTAGTACGAGGCGTGCTTCATCGGCCTCATTGAACGAAAATATAGCTGCGAGTTCCGCAACGTATACGGAGTATGGTTTCTGCAGTTTATAGGAGGCGCTATGAAATTGATTAAATACACCAAATCCAGTGGAAGCATTTATAGTTGACCCATCTGTGAAAAAACTCTTATTGCTACTAACATGGTGGTACTTGTTTGCAAAAATTAAGGGAAAACCCATCGATCGATGGTGATCTGGTATTCCATGGATTTCTTGCATCATGATTAGATCAAAATTTACAGAGGAACTATAGAAGGCTTGAAAGCAATCACGATTGGAGATTAATGAAGCGTCATGTACTCATAGTACAAATTCATGAATCTTGTTTGAGGATTTCGGTCGAGTAGCTTCTCAAAATTTTCTATTACCAATGGGTTCATTACTTCACAACGGATGAGAAACCGGAAGGACAGTTCCGCGAAACGATCTGTCAGTGAGAGAACACCCGCGAGTACTTCGAGGCTCATCGTATGCGTCGAGTGCATACAGCCAAGCGCGATTCGGAGGCAACGGTATTGAACCCGTTTTTGTTTCACATACGCAATATGTTTTCCCCACGTGCTTTTGGAATCGAACCAGACACCTAAATACTTGAAAGATATACTTTGAGTGATTGTTCTACCCTTTAGCTGAAGCTGTAACTGTGCAGGATGATGCTTCCTAGAAAAAAAAACAACCAACTCAGTTTTCTCCGGAGAGAATTCGATACCCAGCTTCATAGCCCAAGTAGACAAATTGTCTAAGGTATCTTGCAATGGTCCTTGCAGGTCCGGTGCACTTGGCCCTATAACGGATACAACCCCGTCATCTGCAAGCTGCCTTAGCGAACAATTTTCATCAAGACAACCATCAATGTCTTTTACATAAAAATTATAAAGAAGGGGGCTTAAACATGAGCCCTGGGGGAGACCCATGTAACTAATTCGTGAAGTTGTCGAGTTTCCATGAGAAAAGCTCATATATTTCTCAGACAACAAGTTGCTCAAATAGTTGTTCATAATTGGTGAAAGCCCACTATCGTGGAGTTTATCCGAAAGGACATCGATACAAACAGAATCAAAAGCCCCCCCTTTTTTTTTTTTCCTCTGTTCGGGACATAAAACCACTGCGACCAGTAATTTGATCTATTGTAGTATATCCCGTGTCCTTAGTTTAGTGCATGTCGTATTACTCCATCACTATTGAGAAATGATGAAGTATTCGGTTTTGATACAGTTG